GTCAAAATGTTTTTTAAAGTTAAATTTTATTATCAGGATCTTTAAATCCAAACATTTAATCTGAGTTTGTCTTTTTATTTATTTTATTGATTTAAAAACAGATTTTTTTTGACAGAAACTCTTCCAATCTGTTAGTTTGTCGTCGGGCTGCGCAAAGTTTAGACAAGAACTTTTCCTTCTGTCAGATTAAATCTTTGTTAAACAAACTCTTCARTCGTCATTCATTAATCTGAAATACGAGGTTAGAGGATCAGATTAATTTAATCTGTGGTTCATGTGAGCAGAATCCCTGCTGCAGATCTGATCGTGTTTCTTAAAGAAGGAAAAATATAGAAGCTGATTTCTTCTGGAAAAAGTTGTCCCAGGAGCAACAAAAGGCTGGAAAGAAATAGCTGAAGGAGAATTTTACACCAGATTAAGTAAATTATGGACAGATTACTGCGGATAAAAAGATTATTTTAGGAAATAAAGATGGGCAGMTGTTCAGCAGTCTCTAAAACCAGTGAAACGAATTCAGAATAAAGTTCCTCAATAAAAGTTTCCAGTTCATAATCTCATCCACAAATTATTATAATCTGTTATCAGATTATTATAATCTGCATTAATCTCTGAACTCAAAGGCTGAAAGTTGATATCAGATTATCGTGACCTTTACTGCATTAAAAGAGAACGGTTCAGGGGCTGGATGGTTAGCAGGCCCGCCTGCCTCTCTGATGGTATGGGGGTGCATTAGTGCCTTCATTGAGGGCACATCTGGAAAAACACAACCAGTGAACATCTGCACTGGTCCAGGACTAAACTGCTGGAGACCTCCATCAGACCAGAAAGGGACAAGGTTCCCTCCAAAACCTCTAGAACTGGTCTCCTCGGGTCCTTCAGAACCTCTAGAACTGGTCTCCTCGGGTCCTTCAGAACCTCTAGAACTGGTCTCCTCGGGTCCTTCAGAACCTCTAGAACTGGTCTCAGGTTCTTTATTTACGTTTGTTTATATTTTACAGAAATGTTTCATATTTAAACATGGCTGTTTGTTCTTTCTGCGACGGCAGACATGTAAAATGGCGTCTGTGCAGCCGGGTCTTGTTTTATGACCCCCCCCCACCGGCCCACCTCCTGCCAGCTGTTTCCCTCAGGACCCGAGGGATGAAGGTTTCTGTCTGTTTGTTTATGAGGGGAAGATAAAACAACAACCAACCGTCCCACCAGGAGAATTCTACAAAAATTAGAGCGAAAAGCTCCGGCGCTGGTTCTGACCTCGGACCTGTCATCATGGTTCTGTTTGGAGCAGAGAGTAGGTTTTAACGGTCACCATCGCCCGCCGTCACAGAAGCAGGCAGGATGAGTCAGCTAAATATCTCACAAAACTGGACAGATTTTAATGAAACTTTCAGACTCGTCCCACGTTCGGCTGATTGACCCAAACCCAAGAAGATGACAGATTAAACTGCTCATGTCAGTCAGTTTAACAGATGTTAAGCTAACATCTGAGCTGGTAGTCGCTGAGACTCATCCAGAAATCGGACTGAGCAGTAACGAAACGATGTCGCTCGTCTCGTTACCTCTCAGGTTTGAGCCAGAAATACGTTCCTGTTTCCAGGTTTYATCATCTGAACCCTCCTGCTGCCCGCGGCTCAGTTTAACCCGAGGGCAGCAGGAGGGTCAAACCAGACTGAACCGGCCTCCTGCCCTCTGTGGAGGTCAGAGCTCCGCCTCCTGACCTGATGACGCGGCCGAGGCGAGYGTCACGTGAACATTCCTGCAGCGTGTTCTGGGACAGGAAGTGACCTCGTCTGTAATTACACGTGAAGTCAAGTCGTCCTGCTGTTGTTCTCAGGCTCCCGAGCGTTGACGTCTCTGCATCTCGCACAACGACTTCCACGTCTCCGTTCCTGTGGCTCGCCCGGAGGCTGTCGTCGTAAATCATGATTCACCTCCACACGTGTCACACAGACGAACAAATGGGCCTTGGCCTGCAGCCATACCTCCCTGGAACGTCTTCCTCCACAAAACCGCTCTCCTGTCGTCACCCGCCCCCCTGGCCCCGCCCCCTGCAGGCCAACGATGTTTTCTCTGACGGTCCTCCATGGGAAGTACCTGGCAGCGAATGCTAGTGGCAGGCGTCTGCCCGGACACGTCCACCCCCCCCCGTCTCCACGGCCACGCGGCGTGAGAACTGTGGTAACCATGACAACGAGGGAGGCGCACCTYGTGCTGTTTATTTAAATGTTGTGAAAGGATTTAGCCTCTCTGCCTCTTCAGGTTCAATGCAGAAACATCAGAATCCTGGTCCCCTACAGCSCGAACAATCAATATCTTACCTGCTGCAGATAACTTTCAAACAACTCAGTTTTTATTGAGGGTTAAACTCTTTTCATCTCCAAGTCCTGTTAGAAACACATTCAGTTTCTCCTGAATCTCCACTCAGCAGCAGAGAGACTCCAGACGACGCAGCTGCTGAAATACAGTATGAACCTGCTGACCTTCAAAATAAAAGCACAGCAAAAGCAGAATCATTTACAGTTGAGTTTTAAATGTAGGTTATAAGTAGTAATCGGAAAGCTAACAGTAGAAAAAAGGAAAGTAGCAAACAAAACTCTAAAAGTAGCAAAAGCTAATAGTAGCTAAACAAAGCTAATAGTAGCAAAACAAAGCTACTAGTAGCTAAACAAAGCTAATAGTAATACATCTGCCCCCCTGCAGATGATTTTGATGTTTTTCTTTCTCTTTGCAGGTTGTTTAAAGTTGGACCTTCCTGCCATGTGGTGATCTTCTCAGCACTCTTTAAAAAAGACTCTGACTCTCTGAGTTCTGGACTTCTTCTCAAGTCTTGCCCCGGCGTCATCATGGCCCACCCTTACGAGCCCTGGTTACGGACGGCGCCGCCTAGCGGCAGCTCCGAGGACATGAACATCCCGTCCTGGTGGGACCTCCATCGTGACGTGCAGGCGGGCAGCTGGATAGACCTGCAGACGGGTCAAGGCCTGCCGTCGGTGAGTCCGGGGAGCTCCATGGGTCTGCAGCCCTCGTTAGGACCTTACGGTTCCGACCCGCAGCTCTGCAACCTGCCCCCGGCTCAGCACGCCTCGCACTCGTCCCACCTCTTCCCTCAGGACGGGTTCAAGATGGAGCCGCTGGCCCCGGAGATGCTGCAGCAGGAAACCTTCTCCCTGGAGGAACCGCAGGAGACCTCGGCGTCGGCCCGGCCCAAGCCTCAGCGCCGCTCCTCGTCCCGGGGAGGCAGCCAGGCCGTGTGCCGCTGCCCCAACTGCATCCACGCCGAGCAGATGGGCCAGAGCGCCGACGACGGCCGGAGGAAGCACATGCACAACTGCCACATCCCGGGCTGCGGCAAGGCCTACGCCAAGACCTCGCACCTGAAGGCGCACCTGCGCTGGCACAGCGGCGACCGGCCCTTCGTCTGCAACTGGCTCTTCTGCGGCAAGAGGTTCACCCGCTCCGACGAGCTGCAGCGCCACCTGCAGACGCACACCGGCGCCAAGAAGTTCAGCTGCGCGCTCTGCCCCAGGGTCTTCATGCGCAACGACCACCTGGCCAAGCACATGCGCACGCACGAGTCCCCGCCCACCCACGGGGAGGTGAACGGCGACGGGAGGGGGGAGAAGGGTTTCGACGAGGCCACGCCCCCACAGCACTCCTCGAACGTGTCCGACAGCACCGAGTCTCAGCTGAAGCTGAAATGTGAGGCGGAACCGACGGATCAGTCCGGCTAGTCCCGCCTCCGAGACACGCCGGTGCAGGTCAGAGTCCACGCTCGGTGGCGCAGAGTCGTAGTTTCAGGTAGAGTAGAGACTAGAAGGAAGATTTGGACCAACTTTTACTGACGGAGGCTGGAAGGAAGGAAAACTGTAGCCGTGGTTCTGAGACGCAGCCGGCTGCAGAGAGAGAGAGAACCTGCAGCTCGTTTACAGGAAACTTTCTGTCTAAAAACGTGCGCATCCTGCTGAACCGGAYCAGAACATCCAGAAAGGTCCAGAACTGCTCAGTGAAGAAGTTTGACGGTAAAGCACGAGAACCAGCAGGAGAACAAGAACAGGTCCTGGAGGAGGAACAAAAACAAAAAAAGTGGGAACGAGTGATGAGAGCCCCTTCCTGGACCCGACAGAAAAACACCGCCTGACGTGAACCCGGGCTTCTGTCGGGACACGCTGAGGACGGCAACACAAACAGACTCAGATCCATCCTGTCAGCGCTGCAGGTTGACGGGCCTGAAACATCCAKCGTGAAGAAACAAGACATTTAAAGCCCAACGTGACAATGTTTCCTCTTAACGGTGGATCAAATGTCTGAAACAACAAAGTTACACGAGGCCTCTGCTCACAAATCATCGTTTTAAAACAAAACGCAGCCCAGGGTTTTAGCTTCATTTAAAAAAAAAATAGGCGAAACTATCTCTGCAGCAAAGCTTTAAAGTACCTGTGACATGCCTATCCTTTATACAGACTCAAAGAAAACATCTTTATACTTAAAAAAGTTAGCATAATACACATGATTTTACTCATTTTGTCCCATAACTGGCCTATTTTCCTTTGAATTTGGCTCAGCCAAAGTGAAACAGGAAGTGACATCAAAGGGGAACTCGTTAAAAAAAATAAACTCTGGTCTTTGTTTATTAAAATAAAATTATTCAAACTTTAACTCTTCTTCATCTCTCTGATAGTGACTCAAAAATAATCTAAAGAAACATCAGATTCTTCTCTGCAGTCTGTGTTATCAGCTGTTGTAACAACGCTCTGTTTACATGCWGWCATTCCTCTTTGACATCACTTCCTGTTTCTTCACATGYAAATATCTCAACAACTGTTCATCTCAGTGACATGAAATTTATTTTGCAATATTTTATCAATGTCCTCTTTCCAAAAATGCATTCATGTTTATTACAAAAAATTGATGTCTCAGGCACTTTAAGACTGCAGAAATGTGATTGTAAGTGGCCTTGCTCAAATTAGCAAGCTRCTAATGGCTAGTTAGGCCACTTCTGAAGCAGATTTGCGTCATTTTAAAACAAAACAAAACAAGTATATTTTATGTTTTTAACCCAATTAAATAATTTTAAATTKAGCTAATATTGTTTTATAAAACTTTACATTGCAGTCAGTGTTGAATTCCATGATTATTCCAGCAGGAAGTGACCCCAGACATGCTACAGCTATGTGCTGCTGTCACTGTTTGTAACTAAATATTCGTAATATGACTAACAATGAAAAAAAGGTTAAAAATACCTTTGACTCATCAGTCCTGTCAGAATTAAACTCTTGTTCAAAGAGCTATCTACAGCATGTAAGATGATGATTATAACCTCTCTATTGAACAATCACTTTACTTTTACATCTCTGCTGCCCTCTGTAGGATAAAAAATAAGATGTGTAACAATTCACATTTTCTAAATTTGATTAAAAGAATAGAAACAGTTACATTTATTATCAGTAAACAATGTGTGCAGCTGCAGTTTGGTGCCATTCACAACAAAAATCATGTGAGCAGTTAACTTTCATTATTTGTATCTAATCAATAGATCTGCAGTAGGCAGATTGAGCAGCTTTTTACTTATCAACTGAGCTTAGTGTCAAAACGTTACAAAACTTACAGCAGATTCTTAKGAAGCTCGTGATTTCTGTGTTTTTAAATAGAAAAACTGAAGAAAGTGCTTAAACATTAGTCAATTATTGTTCATTGACTAGTTTAAATTTTATTCTGTGATATTATAGACAGATGTTTCATTTTATAGAACATAATTTGAATTTRTTGCTGTAGAAACAGTCGTAGTTTGTTGAATTTGTGTGAAAAATAACTTAAACATTGTGTGTTTTCACTTGTATTTAATCAATGACTCTTCTTTAGTAATTAAAGAAATAATTTAAAAAGATGCTCAGTTCTTGTCTGGCTTTTATTTACGTTTCGTAATTGTTTGCAGAGGAGCAGAACAGACTAAAAACAGAAAATTCATTAATTYGTCATTAATATTTCTTAAAGGAAATGTTTTAAATCCTTCAGTTGGGTCTAATAAAGTGGAACTGCAAAGCTTTGATYKGAATTCCTCTTTATTGTAACTCCACAAGCCCCTCTTTCACTCCTTTTCTGATGTGTCGCAGAACAACTCATTTTGAGGCTGTCTCTTAACAGTCAAAGGAGCCACTTCATGCCCCGCCCCCTCCAGCTAACACACTGCTTCATTCTAGTTTCACAGAGGGGTTTGGTGACTATATAGCTGCGCAGAAATGTTTTATTTACAATTTAATTAAAAGATGTCAGCAAGGGAAGACTTGTCCATCCAGCCTTACATGGAGCCAGAGTCTGACCCAGAACCAGAGTCTGACCCAGAACCAGAGTCTAACAGAACCAGAGTCTGACCCAGAGTCAGAGGAGAATGAAGACCACCAAAATCCAGACTTTGTTTGTGACCTGTCACATCGAAACGAGGATTAAATAAAAAAGTGGAATGTGGAGGAACAGGCAGATGTGGGGTTTTGATGTGCAAAAATTGCATTTTGTCCAAAATATATAAAAGCCTTAATGTATCATTTGAATGAACTGTCTGAAATACAATCCTAAGAAACATTTTTGAAGCATTTTTTGAGCAGCAGCAACAAAAAAGCTGATTTTGAGGAAAAATGCATAAAAATTTTAAATGCTTCCCTGTGAACTAGCAATGGTTTTGTTTCTTTCCAGCTGGAAAATCTTAAATAATATTAGAGGTTTAGTCTTTATATTAACATCAAAAACTACTCAATAAATTTACAGAAAATTAGGGTTCAGACCAAACAGTGATGTATTATCTTAACCATCAAGACAAATGAAGTCATCTCTCTGGATGAGCTCATGATATCAGGATGATCCAGGTRTCAAAATGTAGCTTTTAAAGCAGGAATCTGAAAATGTAATTAGGCCCATAATTAGGTCATTTTGACCAAATTTGACTTAATCCTCATTTTGACGTGATGGCTCACATTTAGAATATTCGTAGCAAATACTGTGACGTAATAGTTCATAAAATAGAGAAAACTGAAGGGGTTGAAAAATGTGACCCCAACAGATTATAAAGATATCACTGCAGTWCTGGGATTGATTAAATTCAACTTTTCTGCTTCCTAGAGACTCCAAGTCCACAACAAAATGTATTTAACAGCTAAAAATGTGSATTTTGTATGATATGTCTCCTATAAGTTATTTGAATGACATTTTGTTTTCTGTTCGTTAGCAGGATTACTGCGGTGTTTATAATAGTTTACAATACATTTCACAGGAGACTAAAACTCTTTGAATTAATGAGATACAACACAAAAAAAAATCAGAACGTTAAAGAATATATATTTAACACTTTCTCAGTTGGTTGTTCCTTTATAGATTTTGCCACAGATTAAGAAAAAAAAAGTCATTTTTTGCAGTCAGATGTGGTCCTGTTTCTTTTAGTCAATGCAGAATTACACGTAAAAGAAGAATCAGGCAGTGAGCCCCCTGCAGGATGACAGAGGTACTACAAGAC